GGGGGGGGGAGCCTCGGGGTCTGCAGCCCCGAGGGGGTTAAGACGCAGGCGTACCGGCTGGCTGCCCAGGGAGGGAGAGGAGGATAGAGGGGCCGGTCTGCCCGCATTCCAAGATGCAAGCTGCAGCTGCGCCCCTCACATTCCCAAACCAGCCCGGGGACGCAGGACAGGGGCAGCCCCGGCCCTCCTCATGCTCCCCGGACTGCGGCTCTGGGGACCCTGGCTGACCCACTGACACACGACACCGTATAATGAGTTAAAGAGAATCAATGAACCCCTCTTCAACCTCCACCCCCAGTGAAGTATAAAAACAAGTGAGACTCCTTCACAAGCCTGGTTTCCTCCTACCCAAGCCCTGGCCACCTCTGAGTGTGTGATAAAGACTGTCAAGAGCAGAGCTACAGCTGGACAGATGCCAAGAGATAAAGGTCTGTCCACCAGAATCCCTCAGTGTGGGGGTGGGGGGGTAGGCGGTGTGGGTCAGGGAGGACCCACAACTGTTCTAGTCTCTCCTCCCGGGCTCCAAAGACACTGATGTTAGATCTTGCACAGGGGTACTCTGAGTCACACACTCTGCTCAATGGCCGAGCTGCTCAGCTGGGCTGCTTAAAGGTTCTTGTGCCTCAGTTTCCTTGTCTGTCTGATGGGAATTCTACCATTTTACTCACAGGAGCAAGGATAACATGAGAAAATGGATACACAGTGCTTGCTTAGCACTGTCCCTGGAGTAGCACATACAGTAAGTACATTGCTAAACTTAGGGGAGCCAGCTCCCAAAGAGATGGTTAGCCCTGACGGGGCAAGAGAAAGCACCTCTCCTTCTTATCCCATGCCTGAGGCAAAGGATGCTGCCATCCTGGATGAGGGTTAGGGGCACCACTCTGTGGAAAACAAAGTCACCCTGCAGAAGCCTCCCCACCTCATCCCCACAGATGGGGCAGGTATATGTGGGGGCATCATCCCTTCCCAGAGCTCACAGGCTCCCCCTGCCAGACTGGCCCCAATGCTGGGCCCCTCGCCACTCCTCTATCGGCAGAGCTAGGCTGAACTAGAGGAGGTGGGGGTCCCCTGGCCACCTCAAAATGCCGTGTATTCTTGAGGCCTGGCCTAGGAGAGCCCCCAGTAAGACTTCAATCTTTTCAAGACTGCTCACCCACCTTCTTTCTGCAGGCCTTAACTCAGCTTTCGTCACCCTGGGCGAGGGCTGGCACAGTTTCCTTAGGAGCTGACAAGCAGAAAGAAGGAGCAGCAGGCACCACCCTGAGAGCTCCGGCACAGGCAGCAAGAGGCTGCCATGGCACAAGGGCCTTCCCGACAGCCCGGGGCCAGCTGTGCATCCCTGCCATTTAACAGGAGATCAGGCTGGCTCAGCAAGCTCTTTTCCCACCATCTATCCTGCTGGGTTCAGAACTCTGGGCCAGGAAGGTTGCAGCCCCCCTGCTGACCACCTGCTTGGGGCGGCTGGCCTCAAGTGTCAGAGGAGAAGCTGCCCAGCCTTCCGAAGGACGCCCAAGCTCAGGGATCCAAGCAGTGAGCAGGCTCGGCCCTTCCTAAAGAAGTTGCTATGTAAACAGCAGGAACAGCTCCTCAGGGATGGTCTCATCTCAGCCCCTTTGCTGAGACTCTTCCAGATTAGGAAGGAGAGTAGGACAAGAAGGCGGGTCCCCCTTCCCCCAGCCCTGAGCACATGAGCAGTTAGAGCAGAGGTAATCTAATCCACAGCGGGGTACTTTTACATGGTGAGTAACTCCCCAGGAATGGGGAGCTGGGTATATTTATCCTGATAACTGTCCTCCGAGGAAAGACAGATCTGTGACCAGTAAGGGCCAATCCACAATTAGGCTAGATCTGCTCTGCTCCCACTGGGCCCAGGGACCCAGGACCTGGACACTGACTAGGAGGTCAATCTCCTGGAGAGGCCTTCCCTGCCAATTTGGGTTCTTGTCCACTGTCTCCTCTCCAAGAATTAAGCTCTGGAAGCAGGGGCCTGGGCTATCTTGTTTGATGTCTATCCCCAGCAGGCAGAATGAGAGAGCCTATAAGGAGAAGGAAAATGGGGAGCAGAGAAAATGACCAGTGAGAGTAGGAGGCAGGACACAAGGATTCCAGGCCCAGGGTGCCAGTCAGCAGGTCAGACCACCCACATGGGTCATCTTCTCTGTCAATAAAATGGGCAGAACCCAATCTGTCCCCATTCCTGGGAACAAGCTCTAGGGAGGAGATGATATAACTTCAGGTAAGACTTATATAGCACCTTTGAGCTCTTTGGAGTTTGTCTGAATCCAAGGTATTGCTATTATCTGAATCCCAGACAGGAACTGCTCTCCCTAAGGAGATGGATGAGAAACAATCAATACTGTAGTGATATTTAAATATTTAATAGCCGTGCCTGGAGGTTATGAAGACTTAGCCACCATTCTCCTTAGCTGAC